TGCATCTGTGGCAGATATCTTCCAGTACGAGCCTCACAATTTTTAGTGTGTGGCTTAAAACGACCACCATCATAGCGGTCTTAACCATCATTTTGTCGAACCGTGGGCCACGACCGAAAGACCTGTGGGTAGGCCCTAGCTCAGTTGGTACACCCATGAACCGTTGAGATACACGTGAGTTTCAATCCAGATGGAAATAGGTAATAAAAAAAAAGGTGGAGTAAGCTTGGGCCACGAGTGTTTTGCTCTGGGTTCCTACTGCTCAGCGATCCAAGATCTGAAGGGGGAGGCTGCTCGCTGGCACCTGTCTCGTCCCCCCCCCAGCCCTTCCCCCTCTGTGGCTGCTGCAGCTGCTCCTTCGAGTCGAAAAGTTGGGGGGGGCATCCAACAGCGAATCGAAGGGAAATTGTTCGTTGTAGGTCCTCCAGATGCCAGTTCAAGGGAAAGTCTCTTCCTTTTTCTTTTTTTTTGGGGGGGGGGGATGGAAGGTCTCTTCCGATGGTGAAGCGAAGGGAAGTTTCATTCAGGTTGTGTGCTATGACTAATCGAAGTGAAGCTTCATTGAAGGTTCCGTTTGTGTGAAGAGAAACTACCTGTGATGGAATACAATTGTGGATCAGTTGCTCACCGTCATCAAAGCCGCCATCGGTACTGTGAATAATAGTGAAGACGTCAACGGGGGAGAATGGAAGAGGATGGGGTTTTAACTCTCAACTCTCAACTTTCTTCCTTTCCTCCGGTCCTTGCTTCCTCCCCCCCCCCCCATCGTCTCCCATCTTCTGTCCCCTACTTGCTTTTTGTTTTTTTTTTTCCCGTTAATCATCTATCTGTGCACTTGATTGTTTCCGTCTGGAATTGGAATTGTTGATCCCCCTCACGGTTAGGCTGAAAGGATCGTAAGCCTCCCCCCCACCCCCGCGGCCCCCCAGTTTTCTGGGAAAAAGAATGGGGACTAAGTTGGTTATCTCCCTTGTTCAGGTGCAATTTCAGCGATTGTCGTGATTATCGATCGATTAGTAAACAGGGTCATGTTTGTGAGATGTGATGGGAAGATCACAACAGAAAGGGGAAAAGGGCAGCAGAAAAGAAAAAGGTGCGTTGACAGTCGTTGGATTTTGTCGGGATCAGGTGGGATGAAACTATGGGAGTGCACAATCGACCTGATCGAAACACTGCGGCAAGAGCTTCAGGACGGACGGCTGTCCTTCAGGGGCAAAGATGTGCTGGAGGTAAGCTTTAGTGAATGCAGTAGCATAGCAGTGGCATTTCTGAACCACCTACTGTTGTCTTCTCTGCTTTCCTTTGGCCCGTGCTCCTCTTCAACCTATCCGCTCGTCCCTCTTTCAATTAGCATTGTAAGCTGTCAAAAAAAAAGTCCATCGCTACGTTTTGAGTTCCCCTCTTGCTGCTCATGTGAGCTCTCTCCTCATCCATCTCTCTCTCTCTCTCTCTCTCTCTCTCTCTCTCTCTCTCTCTCTCTCTCTTTCTCTCTCTCTCTCTGTGTGTCTGTCTATCTATCTATCTATCTATCTATCTATCTATCTATCTATCTATCTATCTATCTATCTTTCTCTCTCTCGCGTCCTTTTTTTCCCAGTCACTGTACTCGAAAAGGTTTGACAGCGTAAGGTAAATCTCTACATGGAGATTCAGTCTTTTCTTTTCAGCGCAGACCTGCAGAAATTTGCTTAGGCAGCAGCGTGCAACTACCCTCTTCACCTGAATTGAATGCCCGATCATCATCGCAATATCTAGTCTGAAAATGGCACCAAATACGGCTATAAATAATGACGGGGCATCCAATTCCGCTAAAGATGGTCAGGCTCAGAGAATGGGCATCTGCAAAATGTGAACTTTGGGGGCGGGGGGCGGAAAGGGGGTGCTGCACTTTTGAGATCGGGCTCGGAGACCTTGTATGCTGCATTGCTTCTCACATAGGATCCCGCAGTGTATCCTTTGCATGGTATGCTCTATAGCATCTGGCTTAGCATCTTGCATCCTCAGCATGGTATGCTCGATAGCATCTTGCTTAGTATCTTGCATCCTCTGCATGGTATGCTCCATAGCATCGTTCTTAGTATATTGCGTAGTATATTGCAAACGATGCTGCATAGCATCGTACATAGTGTCCTGTGTAGTTTCCCATCGTGTCTGCTATGGTATCGTAACTGATATCCAAGGTGACTCCCAAGGTCAGTCTGGACAGACACAGATGTCTCAAGGGTCCAGCATTCAACAACCCTCATGCTACTGACCTCACTTCTTTGATGTACTCCCTCCCTCCCTCCCTCCCTCCCTCCCTCCCTCTCTCTCTCTCTCTCTCTCTCTCTCTCTCTCTCTCTCTCTCTCTCGCGCGCGCGCGCACGCGCGCGCGCCCGTGGGCACACATCGAGGGAGACAGAGATATATCACAAACTGAGTTGTTTGTAATGGAGTGTGTGCACGGAGGGAGGCAGAGCTATCTCACAAGCGAACTGTTCCGTTTTGCTGCGGTGGCACTCTGCCAAGTATTGTTTCGAGTTTCCTAGGAGGCTTCACGTTGGCTCCTGTAAATTGGCTGTGGCAGCGTTGGTTTCCTCAATTATTATACGAGTTTCGCTGTGTTTGCCAGTGCACCAATTTGTGTTGGTCTCCTAACTTGTTATTGCATACGATCAAGAGCTCGATATGTATCACGGACTGACTTTTTTTTGTTCCTTTTTGTTTTCATCTGTGTCGTGTGTGTTGCTGGTGCTAACAAGTTGGGCTGCGGACATGGCCTCCCTGGCATCTTGGCATGCATCAAGGTGAGCAAGAGGTGGGTGAGGAGGAGAGAGAGTGGTGGCGGAGAGAGAGAAAGGGTTTGGGGGGGGGGGGAGAGGGGAGGAGAGGGGAGTTTACTTTCCGAGCCTCATTGCTTTTTGTACCCTCTGAGGCTTGGGATATTGATTGGGCTTAGTCCATTAATTTCTGGATGAGGAAGAAGCAGAGTGTGGGGAGCGAGGTACAGAGAGCGTGCTGAGTTATGGAAAGGAGGATAAACACTGGTACCATAATGTCGATCATGTGTGGTTGATTGTTGCATTACTGATCAGGCTGCCAGTGCGGCCGTGTTCACCGGAATAGAACGCCCGGTCATTATAGCTGTATCTGGACTGAAAATTGCACAAAATACAGCTATAATGACCAGGCGTTCTATTCGGGTGCAGGTGGTAGTCTCTTTCAACTAGCTGTAACAACAGGTGGTGTGTGTAACAACAGATGCTGAGTTTCTTTGATTTGATCGCTTTGATTTGATTGCCTTGATTTGATCGCTTTGATTGATCGCTTTGATTTGATTGGTTGATTGATTGGTGGATTGATTGGTGGATTGGTTGATTGATTGGTTGATTGATCGCTTTGATTTGATCACTTTGATTTGATTGGTTGGTTGACTGGTTGATTGATTGGTTGATTGATTGGTTGATTGATTGGTTGATTGATTGGTTGATTGATCGGGTTAGACCTTTTTTTTACGTTTTTGAATGCTGTGCAGGGTGCACGCAGTGTTCACTTCCAGGACTTCAATGTTGATGTTCTTCGTGCACTGACTATTCCCAATGTGGAGAGAAATCTTGAACATGCGAAAATCCAAGCTCCTCGTCCAAGTGATGGTCCGGTGAGACTAACGCCGACAAGAAAGCCCAGAGTTCGATACTTTGCCGGTGACTGGTCGGATGTCGGCCGCTTGCTCTCGATCTCCGAGCGCGGTGCCTCTGCTACGGCTATGGTGGAGATGGCACAAGAGCAAATGGGCCCATCGTCTGCTGAGGCAACAGTGACGTCCGGCAGAGACAAAGTTTTGCATACATCTCCGCTCGCAAGCTTATCCGCAAGTTCATCAAACGACAGGGAAGGCGTTCCACAGGAGCCACAGAAAGGCTTTGCTGGGCCTCTTGAGGGCATTGTTGCGGAGGAGGTCGGACCGAATTGTGAGAGGGACGTTGTTGCCGATAGAAGCCCCGACGGCAGCGATGAAGTCAACGTCGAAGGTGACAGAGCAGAAGGAGATGAAAAAAATCGCAACGATGCGGCACCACTGGCACAAGAGCCTTGCCGTTACGACGTCATACTGATGTCCGAAACGGTTTATTCGCCTGCGTCCTTGCCGAAATTGTACGCGCTTCTGAAGAAGGTGAGCACCGTGAATGTACTTGACATCAGACTGTTTGATTGTCGCCCCCAACTGTTCATCTCTTTCACTACCTTCTGCAAAGTGGGAGTCTAGGGGAAAAAGAGGAGGAGGAGGAGTCCAAAAGGTAGCGAATAAACTTGTGTTCCACAGTCGAGCAACACAATCGATATTAGGATTAAGCAAGCAAGAAAGCAAGCAAGAAAGCAAGCAAGAAAGCAAACAAGCAGCAAGGAGAAAACTTAACGAGCACTTGTTCCATGCAGCAAGCTGCCACAGGAGAAAGATCACCTGGAAGTGGTTTGTGGTGGCGTTAAGAGTTAGGGCGCTTAACGCGTGTTGTATTTAAGGTTAAGCAACGAGTTCCAAATAATGGGAACTACTTAATTAAAAAAAAAAAAAAAAAAGCCCTCGAAGAAGTCGATTACACTCAAATAGAACAATTTTGTCCATTGTGCGAGTGAGCCTCGACGAGCCCTACTGGGCCCTGTTTTCAGCAATGTCAGCCGCCCTAAGTGAAGGCAGGCCCGGCCAAGGACTAGAGGCCTACTTTGGGCTTACCCTGCAACTGGGAAATTCAGGCAGTAGTGCAGCGCCAGTTGGTTGAGAGAACCCACGCCCTGCCTTCCTTTCTCAAATGTATCTGAGGCAGGCCCTGGGATGGACATGGGGCATGGACTGCGCACAGGCCGCTGACAGTTGGGCACGGGTAACCACCCCTACCCTTGGACTGGGGCTCAGCCACTTGGGGCCGACCGGAAGCTTCTGGGCGAGGGGCCTGGCACAGCCAGGCAGCGCGCAGCAGGCAGGCCATTTCCATATAGGAAAGTGCCTGCCCCCGCATTCGGCATTCAGGCACTTGCTACATGCTGCGCAAGCGCTGCTGCGCTACTGGCAGGCAAGCCCCCACGTGCTCACGGGCGAGCAAGGGATACGCAAGCAGCCATAGCCGAGCTGGCCTGTGAGGTGCTGGATGGGGCGCATGGTGGTCCTTGGGTGCACATGACATCTGTGTGGGGGATCGAGGTTGTGAGTGGAGCGTGAGACATACCTGGTACTTGAGGCGAATGGCATCGGCCGAGATCTGCTCGTACTTCGGGGAGCTGTTGACGTCGCCAGCGGCATTGTAGATAGGCTAGATAGGATCTGCCATTCGTAGTCTGGGCGCCGAGCGCCAGATAGGAAGTCGACATTGGTTCATTGTTGATGATGATGAGACTTCCAATTTCCAACATTGTCACGTGTGAGCTTTTGCTCCTCTTATTTTGGTGGAACTCGAGATGCAATTCTGCTTCTGGTTCGAGGTCAAGACCATCTGGTTTCATGTATATGATGCTACTTGGTTTCAAGAATTCGCTATCGCTCATTTCCCTTGCAATTGGACTGCTTTGTGTTTTGTGACAACTAGGAATAACAAAAGTTACAAAACAACAAATAACTTGAAATAAGTGAAAATAAAAAATTGGAACGATACAGAGAAGATTACCATGGCCCCTGCGCAAGGATGAAAAAAAAAAAAAAAGAAAGTGTCTCCGGGTGGTTTCAGTTGTGGAGACGGGGGTCGGGCGTTGAGTTGAGTTATCTCCCACTGCAACTGTGCTGCGGTGTCACAGCTGAATGCTCAGACCTGTATGGCTTCAGTCTTGAACACGGTGTTCAGAGCCGCAGTGGATAAGACATCCATCCGGCTGTTACGGCGGAGATCACGGGTTCGAGTCCGTGCGGCCACGGATTTAGGTTACCTCGCTTGTGTGCTGATGCGTCATTATTTTTAGCATCCTGCGGATTATGCTGCAATGATTAGGAGTCCAGCAGTCAAATCGCATCCATCAAGAAAGCCGTGGTGACCGTCATGATGTAGAGGGGATGGTGGGACATCCCTCTGCGCCTACTCCGCTTTTCTGTCCTGCCGATTCAACGAACTTGGAATTTAAAAAGAAAGGGGAAAAAAAAAAAAAAAAACCCTTGAAGGCAATCGAAGGGGGAACACTTTTTTCACTGTTTGTAAGAGAGATTTGAAAGGGTCTGTCTGATTTATTATTTTTTTCCTTCCCCCTATAGCCCTTTGAAAGCGCAAACGGCCGTCAAAAATTGTTGTGAGCTGCTCAATGTGCTCAGCCCACGGTATTCTTTTGCAAAAGGCGAAAGAAGACTACATGGGCTGTATGTCGTTGAACTGACAATAGGATGGGAATTTTCGATTTTGTAATGCTTGGGGGTTTGTGATATTTTCAATTGTTTTGTCCACAAAACCACCATCTTTTCCTGAATGTAGTGTACATGCGGTCGTTATAGCTGTGTGTTTTTGGGCAACTTTCAGTCTAGATACAGCCAGCCATAATGACCGTATGTTATATTCGGGGGAAGATAGTAAATAGACTGCGGTAGGCTACCAGCCGTGCCGCTCGGCTCACCTTGTTTCCCGGGCAACCCGGCTCACCTTGTTTCCCGGGCAACCCGGCCGTGCAAGGACCAGAGAAGGTCCCAGCAAAAACAAAAAAAAACGAAAAAAAAAAAAAACACCGAAAAATCAGAAGAAAAAAAATGCTATGCAGGAAAATAAACTGAATAATCTTTTTTTTTTTTTTTTTTTTAACCCTCGGGGTCAAATCAAAATTCTTTACCAAATTTAAATAAAGTTTAATTAAGTTTAATAAAGTTAATAATCTCTCTTTTTTCTTTTTTTCTTTTTTTAATACCCCGGCCTGTTAAGTGGCTCTGGGTCACTCTGGTAGCCCAGGTAATAGAAAAGCAAGATGTGAATTTTGTTCGTCGTTTTGGGATGTGCTAATAGGTTTGCAACGTTGCATGTGCCTAAAGTCCCCCAGCGATGGAATTGCGCAACCGAAGGAATTTGCTTTATATTGATCGACAACTTGTCCGAACGCAGCTGGCTCAGAAAGCGTCCAAATGCATGTAGAATTACACAACTGCTGGAATGTGCTTCGAACGCGCCTGGGACAGAAAGCGTCCAAATGCGTGTAGAATTACACAACCGCTGGAATGCACTTGAAAAATGGGCAACTCGATACGTTTCAAGGACACGGAACTCGAGGAAAGGTTGAAGGAACAAGGTCCACAATGCCTCTACATCCTCAACCATCAGTGCTCAACTGCAAATATGGAGGATCACTCCACTACTGTTGCATACTCGTGAAACGCAGTCATAAGTATGGCGCAGATTCCCAGAACCGGCCAGATAATACAGAGTTAATACAAACACAGCGGAAGAGTCGACACCCATGGACTGACTCTGACGTGACTCAGACTGCAATCGAACACTCTCAATCATGCGTCAGTGGTGTGAAAGCCCTGGCCTCGGACATAGAAGAAAGGCCAGGGTCTGAGATCATACACGGACGAATGGAGGGAGGAGAGACGAAGGGAGGAGGAGAGGGAAGATGACGGCAACTTAATGTTTCACAAAGATAGTATCTTGAAATGTCAGAGGTAGCGAAAATCCGAAATGTCACGAACACAGTGTGTCTCACAATGTCTCGGATATCGATCTCACAATGTCAAGTACATCTTCAGAGGAAGATGAAATCAGATCCCAAGAGTAGTCCTCAACCTACAGTCCCAATGTCGCTGTCTCCAATATCATCAGAACTCGTAACCATCCTTCATACTCGTAGTAGTCCCGTAAGAGAACCCAGGAGTCGACTTAGACTGAGAAGGTAGGAGGGGAGAGAGAGAGAGGGAGAGAGAGAGAGGGAGAGAGAGAGCGGCGGAGGAAGAAGAGGGAGAGAAGGCAAGGCCTTCCTCCCTGGTACCTGGTTGGGTAGCTAGGGCGCTGCAGCAGGCTGGCGCGGGGCCTGGTGGCTGGCGCTGCTCCAACTGCTGCGCTAAGTCCTCCTCGCTGCTGTGCTCGATCTCTACTCGCTGCTCGTACTAAGCCTGTAAGGGTTGGTTTCCCTCCCCAGCTACTATAGGGCCTCCGTGTTGCAACCTAAGTTGCTTACATCCCGTGGTTACATATATCTGGTTTTTACCTGTAGCTGAACACCGGTTGCTGCATAGCCCTAGTGGATTTATCCACCACATCGTTTTACGAGGTAGGCACCCCCGAATTAGTGCTGATTGGGCGGACCGTGATACGCAATCGGTCATGACCCACATCGGGAACGCAACGTCCGACCACGAAATTGCGTTGGCTATTGCTGCTGTGCCGCGCTGATCCTGCTAACGCTGAAACGCTGCGCTAATCCTGAAGACTAAACCTCCTGTCTACTAACCTACCGACTGAGGCTGGTACCCAGCTGATATAGTGCTGGGTCGGCCTCAGTCCTACTGAGGGCCTTCGGGTCTGGACTGTTGATCAGGCCCAACGGTTCAGATCCGATTTCGGAATCTGAAAAGTGGCGCCAAAACTGTGCCGCCAGGCGGTCCTACCGATGGACCTGGTACCTGGCCTAACCAACTAGCCGTTGGGTCTGGTGGGGTTTAAACGAGCCCTACCGGACCCCAAACTGAACCGACGGGTCCTAGGCCTACCTAGACCTAACTGGGACTGTCGTGACCCGGTCACTAGGCCTACCTGTGCCTACTACAGAACCGGGCCCTAACTGGGGCCCGTGTGGTATCAGTATGCCACAACTACTCAACATTCTACATCCATTTGGACGCTTTCTGGCCCAGGTCCATTTGGACGATTCCAGCATTTTGATTGTATCCGGACTACCATGAAATCCAGATACGGACAGTGTTGTGTATAGTGGTCTAATAGTCAATCGATGCAAAAGTCTTTTCTTGCCTTCCACCATCTACGTCCTGGTGCTCCTCTCTCTCCTCTCCAACTCAACAATCATCATCCTACCTTCTTCCCCCGAGTACAGCATATGTTAATTGTAGCTGTATTTGGAACGAAAGATACCCCAAATACATCTATAATGACCGTATTTTCTATTGGTGGGAGGAATATTGCTGTCTATCAATGTTAAGCCCATGTTTAAGCCACCAGCCATTCCGACCCTCTTTTTCCTGATGCCAATCTCTCTGTCCAGTTTTGCCAAACCGGCGCAGGCTCGAAATCCACTTTTTTTCTGGGCGGGTGCCACCAACCTTTTCGAATCAGAATTGCCACAACCATCCATCTTGCTGTTCTGCTTATTCACAGCCCTCCTACTTGCAGGGGAAAAAAAAAAAGAAAGGAC